AAAAAAGTGGGATTTCTGATGATTTTTAAGAAAAAACTGAGAGGTTTTTATTTTTTACAAATATATGCATTTGAAAAAGTAACATTTTAAGAATGTCTAAAATTTTTTTTAATCAAAATTTTAATTTATAAGAGCGCAGTAGCCAGTCTCCACAGGTTTTTAAGAAATTTAATGTGCGGTGAGCAACATAACTGAAAGCCTAATCATCTGGAATAAAAAATCAAACAGATTTCATTAATATATAATAATAGCTAGTGATTAATCGTTCGGTTTTGCAAAATATTGATTTATAACAAAATGGCGGCTTTTTAAAATTAATGTTTTGATTTTTATCAAAAAAATTGCCTATTTTTGATCATAAAAAAGAAAATATTTATCGGAAAAATAAATCCATCGATCAATCACGAGATGTTTATATCTAAAATAAGTACGTAAAATTTCAGAGTGATAGGTACTGTAGTTTTTAAGATATCTTGCTCACCGACTTCAAAAATGTCATTTTGAGAAAAACTCGTTTAAAGTTTTAAAAGCGAATAACATGTATTAATTTTTTTTTTGACATTTACACAGTATCGTCTATTCCAGGCCCATATACTTTGCCTTCTTCTTCATCTGCTGCCTTCAAAACATCAATTTTTGTTGTTGTTGTCTGCGAGAAGCTCTAGCCTCCCGCGTGCTCTCTACTGCTCGCCTCTTCGCTGTTGCGATGCGCGCTTCGTCTTCATTATTGGCATATAGATGTGTATTTCGTCCAATATTAACGCCTAAACAGTTCATTATTTGTAGTAAAGACTGTGTGCCCTCATTAAATATACAAGCTGCTATATTTGCAGCTAATTCAACAATAATCGCGCCACTAGGAATAATTTTAGGGCTTATTTTCCATATAAGCTGATTATAACTCTCATTGTTGTTCTGCGTAAAACCACCCACACATCTTTCTAACAAAGCGTTCTTGCTTAGGTCTTCATAATTAGCTTAATTGCCATTAAAACATCTTAAGGTAAAGCAGTATAATCACGTTTAAATGATTTTAATTCTCCTTTTGCTGAAGCGTGCTGCCAACTACACCACGAATCAGGTCCGGGCGGGCACTTGTCGTGACACGGATTATCATCAGTTGAACTATAATGATAGTAGGTAGCCCATATCGCATTATGCATCTCTTTTACCGATTTACAATTTCGTCTAATCGCTAGTCCATAATAAACGGTAAGCTTATCGATCATTTTGCCGGTAAGCTCTCCTTTCCCGCCGAGCGATGTTCTCTTTGTTTTGTCTGTTTTCTCCACAACAGATTTTGTTTTACATTCACGGAGGCGACTTCCCATACGTTTTTGAACATGTCCTACGCACTCTTTTTTATTAATATTTATATCTCCATAAGGAGCAGCATCAAGAACTCCTTTATACGTTTTAGAGTCGCCGTCTCCGATGAAATTCATATATTTCACGCCGTATTTTTCCTGCGATCTTTGAAACATTTCGACTATAGCATTTACCTCCATTTTTCCATAGGAACCCTCATGATTAGCAAGACATTCTTTTGCGTGTGTGCTAATCCATTCTTCATATTCCTGAGTATCCTTTTTTATCCCAGTACTCGCATTTCTTACAATATGCGCTTTTCGTAACAATATCTATAATTTTTCCAGTATAATATCCAATTAAAGAGGAAACGTCATATAAGGAAGAGAACTCGCGTTTTTTCCATGTACCATCACCTGACACAGTAAATTCAGATGTCTCTTGAATATTTCTTGCTTTGCACGTTTCAGCAATTTCTTCTTTAGCGGCTTTTTGGAAAAGTTTTTCTGCAACCATTTTCACACTCGTGTGTATATTCTTTACGATCATATCGTATGTTCCCTGTGCAAGAAATGGTGGCATATCCATTAATCCACAAAATTTTTTACATCCTTGGAGTCCTAGCCCTAACACTCTCATAACAAAAAAACCGACGATTTATTTCGTAAGAATGCCCAATAAAAGGACTCGAAGAAATATATTGGGTTTCACATTCATCACACACCACTGCAATTTTAAAACCGAGACCGCGCGTGCTTGCAGTTTCAAATTTAACATTCCCACTACAATTTTTGCACTTTACTAGAGCGGAAATAGCAGTAAATATTGATATAAAATTCAAAATTCTGTACTCGACGGTAGCATCTTCTGGCATAATCAGTTCTTTTTACGCCTTAAATTTTTTGCTGACATACTAAAAAAGATTTTTCATCCGACTCGGCCTTTTTTGGGTTAAAAACGTTCCTCCTTTTCTTCGGCTTTGATTTTTGGAAATTTTTCGAACTTCTTGCTTCTCTGGAAACTTTATGCGGTTCCATATTTGCTCAAAAAAGACGGAAAACACAAATAAAACAAGAAAGAAAAATCAAGTCCACAGCTCTGCTACTGGCAAGCGTTTCTATATTTCGTATATTCGTCTCTACCGTTACATTAGACGCTACAGAGCTACTTGACATTCGTCCAAACATATTTACTTCACGATTTTATAAACAGTTGAGCTATACAATACAAGACTCCTTGGTAAATAAAATAAGTGGGGATTCCCAGATAATCATAATAGAGGGGAAAGGCGGATGTTTCAACGGCTCTTCAAGCACTCGAAGGAGCATGTACATAGCAGCCTATATTTCGGCGAATTTTACTCGAATGAACTTGAAATTTTTACAGAATATTCTTGAAATAATATATTTTTAGAAAAAAATATTTTTGAAAAATCGATATTTTTAACCTTACTGACTGTATATATCCCCTTAAGTCTTTACGACTCCCCTATTAAAAATGGCGGCCGCTCAAATTTCGAAATTTCATGCACTTAGTGTTATCCAGGATCAACTGCGTGGAAGTAGCATGAATCTGATTCCTTGTGTGTGTGTGTGTATGTGCGTGCGTGCGTGCGTGCGTGCGTGCGTGCGTGTAGCTAAACAAGTGTGAATGTGTTATATGTATAGTCGTGATAGGTTGCAAAACAGATGATTGAAAATTGTCATCTCTCTTTAATGATTCAAAACCTTTTACTCCGTGTTTTAAAATAAATTTTACTCAGTATGTTAAAGTAAATGGTGAAAGTGGCTGCCATTTACTTCCTGACAATATGCCAATCTTTGATAGAATGCAGAAATGGCTCTACGATTCATCTCAAAAGGTATCAAATCTATGTCATCCCTTATTCGCTGTATCAATTCTTGGATGCTTTCAGGTTTTGTTTTGTAAATCTTGCTCTTCAGGAGTCCCCATAGATAATAATCAAGAGGAGTTAGATATGGTGACCGAGGTGACCAATCCTCTCCTCCCTCATTTCTGTTCCTTCTTCCTATCCATCGTAATGGAAAAGTCTCATTTAAAATTTAACGTGGCCCTAAATCAAAATGAGCAGGAGCTCCATCATGCTGAAACCATATTTCTTCGAAATTATTTGGAAAAATATTTCGTATGGCTGGAATTATTTGATCTACAAGTAATCTGTCATACCTTTGAGCGTTCAGATTTTCTTAAAAAAAAAACGGTCCTATTAAGTAGCCATCTATTATTCCACACCATACATTTATTTTTTGTGGGTATTGTATGTGAGTTTCCCGCACCCGGACCAATTCGGATTCTCATCTGACCAGAAACGAAAATTTTGATTATTAACTTCTCCCGTTAACGTGAAAGTTGTCTCGTCTGTAAAAACAATTTAATAAGAGAACATAGGCCGAACATCTATTAGTGCCATCATTCTTTCACAGAAACCTATACGACGCTCCACATCTCCGTCTTGCAATTCTTGAACATATTGTAATTTGTATGGATGGAACTTGTTTTTCTTTAAAATTTTCCAAACGGACTTGAGAGCAATATCGTGAGTTTGAGCGGCTCTGTTAATAGTAGAATTGGGACCTTCAATAAATGTCTGCAGAACATCAAGTTGTTTTCTTCGTTAATGGCAGATCTCCATGATTTAGGGCGATTGTTTACGCTACCAGTTTCTCTGAAACGTTCCATTGTTTTTAAGACAGTGGACTTATTAATTCGATGATTCGGATACGTCTCATTAAATAATTGAGCGACAGCAGCGTACGACCGCTCGTTACCACCCCATCCACGCATCATGAGGATAGTGATTCTTTCACGTTCCGACAATTCGCCAGCCATTTTTAAATCGTTTAATTTTTAATCTGCCTAAGATCTGTGAGAACTGATTTTAAGTAGCCGTGAGAACAACTGATTTTAAGTAGCCGGTTGATTCTGGATAACACTAAGTGCATGAAATTTCGAAATTTGAACGGCCGACATTTTTAATGGGGGGGGGGATCGCAGCGACTTAAAATTTTAAGGATGTGTTTGTTATGAAAAGACCTTTCAAATGAGCCCCCACTTGACCCTTAGTCCAATTTGAAATTTTCAACCCCCCTTTTACCCCCGCGTACCAGGGGGTGGGGAATGATCGGTATCTATGTCATAGCGTAGCTTTTTTTGAAAAAACAAAATACGTGTCTTACCGTTTTTTAATATTTTCATTTTTACAAAAATTATTTAAGCGTTTCCACACTTTTGACAAACCCTGTATATTAGGTTGGGGAAAAAGAAATCCATTATTTTTCTGCTAGATGGCTTCAGTGGTATGTATCACGTGATGTATTAATCGGATAGGTTAATATTTATATTCGTTGGGAAAGTGACATTCTGTACTAAAAAAAATTCTTTAACGGTTTTGTGATCTGTCGATTTAGTTGTGAGTTATATCACGTAAAAAATATACGTCAACAAAGAAGAAATTCGGTATATTTTACAATTTTGCTTTGATAAAGGCGAAAATGCAAGCCAGGCGGCTGAAATTGTGAATGGTGTTTATGATCCCGATACTGTCATAGCCAATCAGGCGCAATTTTGGTTTCGTCGATTCCGTTCCGGTAATTTTGATGTTAAAGATGTATCTCGTACAGGTAGGTCCGTTCCGACGACGCGTCGTCGGAAATGTCAATAAAATTATGGAAATGATCGAAGTATACCGGCATGTTAGCAGTCGCAGTATCGCCCAGGAGCTGAAGATCGAACACAAAACAGTTTTAAACCATTTGCATAAAGCTGGATTCAAAAAAAAGCTAGATGTTTGGGTACCACACGAATTGATGCAAAAAAACATGATGGACCGAATTTCAATCTGCGAAGTCTTGACCAAACGGAACGAAATCGAGCCATTTCTGAAACGGATGGTGACTGGGGATGAGAAATGGATTACATACGACAATATTGTGCGAAAACGATCGTGGTCAAAGCGTAGTGAAACGGCTCAAACGGTGACCAAACCAAGATTAACGGCCAGGAAGGTTTTGCTGAGTGTTTGGTTGGACTATAAAGGAATCACCCACTATGAGCTGCTTTCATATGGCCAAACACTAAATTCGGACCTCTATTGTCAACAATTGGACCGTTTGAAGCTAGCGATCGACCAGAAGCGGCCAGAATTGGTCAATAGGAGAGGAATTGTTTTTCATCAGGACAATGCCAGGCTACATACGTCTATAATGACTCATCAGAAACTCCGAGAGCTTGGTTGGGAAGTTTTGATGCATTCACTTTATAGTCCGGACCTGGCACCAAGTGATTACTATCTGTTTTTGTCATTGCAAAACTTCCTTGATGGTAAGAAATTGACTTCAAGAGAGGACTGTGAAAATCATTTAGTCGATTTTTGCAAATAAGGACCAGGGCTTCTATGAAAAAGGGATCATGAAATTACCTTTAAAATGGCGACAAATTGTAGAACAAAACGGTGCTTATTTGAGCAAAATCGAACAATCCTAACTATGTTAAATAAAGCCTTGAAATAAACGAAAAAATAATTGATTTCTCTTTCCCCAACCTAATATACAGGGTGTTCCGTAAGTCGAGGTCAATCGCTCGAGAGATGAGTGGGGAACCACAAACAAGAAAGAAAGTTGATACAAACATAGGTCCAAAAATGCGTTGTTTTCGAGTTATTACCATTTTTATGTTAAAATTTGAAATTGCTTTGCTTTCGAATTTTTTTGGTTTTGGAGTTTCGATGGTTTTTATGAGTTTCAAAACACAACTAAAGTCAAATAAAATTTTCGGGCTGCTTTAGCACTACCCAGGATGCACCGCGTGGAGGTACAGCCCGCTTAGCATCCCTTGGCAGAGATCAGGACCCCACAGTTCGTCACTCCTGTGGTATTTAGTGACTCCAAACTCTCTCTGTCGTGTGTATTTGTGTGTGTGTGTGTGTGTGAGTGAACGTAAAAATTATATGAGTTGTTCAAAATCCTCCTCCTTCTGCATGAATGCAGGCTCTAAGCCTTCTTTCTAAGGAGTCCCGAACTCTTTATAGCACTTCCGGATTTTCTCTAATGTTTCGAACACCTCATATAATTTTTACGTTCATTCACACACACACACACACACACACACACACACACACACACACACACACACACACACACACACACACACACAACACACACACACACACCACCACCACACACACCACACACACACACACCACACCACACACACACCACACACACACACCATCACACCACACCCACCACACCACACACACACGATAGAGAAGGGTTTGGAGTCACTAAATACCACAGGAGTGACGAACTGTGAGGTCCTGATCTCTGTCAAGGGATGCTAAGAGGGCTATACTTCCACGTGGTGCATCCTGGATAGTGCTAAAGTAGCCCCCAACTTTTATTTGACTTTAGTTGTGTTTTGAAACTCATAAAAACCATTGAAATTCCAAAACCAAAAAAATTCGAAAGCAAAGCAAGTTCAAATTTTAACATAAAAATGGCGATAACTCGAAAACAACGCATTTTTGGACCTATGTTTGTATCAACTTTATTTCTTGTTTGTGGTTCCCCATTCATCTCTCGAGCGACCTCGACTTACGGAACACCCTATACAGGGTGTCTCAGAACTTTGGGACGCGAGCTCTGTAAAGACATAGAACTAAGTGAGAGGAACAAAATGTCCTGTACCATAATGTGAAAATCATAATATTTTTTAATTATAACAGCGCAAAGTTAGGCGTTTTCCACGCCCAGCACGGCCTATAGACACTCCATGGCAAGCTGTGTGCGTAGGGACTGAGCGATAACGCGTTTCGCGCTGATTGTCGCGATGGCGTCTTGTCGTTTTGACACCGCGCGACAGTTGGGGCGACAGATAGGACTTAAAGAAAGCAATCAGACGTTGATAATTGTTTGACCATGGAATGACCTTGAGAAACGTTATCAAGGTCGATATAAAAATCTTAAATGGGACCCGTTATTTTTTGTTACATATTCTTATAGCTGACGTTGAGATGTTTCCGAAACACTAGTTATAAATTTTCTCTCCATAAGAACATTTCCAGTTATGGGATTTGAAAGTTAAAAGACTACCAGCATTAGCATTACCCAAGGTGTACCACGTGGAGGTTGTACAACTCCACGGTCGGATTTACACCTCTTGTGTGTGTGTGTGTGTGTGTGTATGTGTGTCACAGCAGATCCACGGTTCGTCACTGCCGTAGTACTTGCGTATTAGTATGCAGCGTAGCGACTGAGCGTCCGCGCTAGGTAGTGTTTTATCCCCATTACTCACACGCAGAGCACTCGGGCCCATGCACGCTACGCACACAGAGCTGGCGCAGCTTCAGCAAATTTGCTAAAGAAGATTGGTGCGAAGTTAACTTTGTCTAAAAAACAAAACCAAAAATATTAACCCGTGGATATAATCTATCCTACACTAATATTTTATTCATTCTTCGTTTAGTATAATAGTTTTCACTTTGGATAATGCGTTTAACTGATAAGGAAAGAATTTATACTATTCTTATGATGCGAGATTTTGGTGATAGAATTAGATCTTATCAAAAAGTAAAAAGTAATTTATTTAACAACACATACAAGTAGTATGTGGGAAGGTATGGGCCGTCAAGACATTCCCCCTCCATTCGACCTGCTGACGCCACTAAACCACGCCCACCGGCGCCAGCGGGTCGAGTGGAGGGAGAATATTTTGACGGCCCATAGCTCCTCACATGGCAAAACCTGATCGATTTTGGACATATGCAAATTATGGTCGGAACTACAGGGTTTTTCAATTGGTGCGGGTCGATGTTGGCAGCCTGTGGCGGCCATGTTGTTTTGGCGGCGTCTGTCTAACTTGTTGTTTATTATTCAGTCACTGATGCCAAATCACCATGACAAGTTACACGATTGAGCAGCATATCCAAATGATAAAACTTTATTATCAAAATGAGTGTTCGTTAATGCAAACGTTGCGCGCGTTGCGCCCATTTTACGGCAGACGCGATGGCCCTTCAAAGTCGACTCTCCAATGTTTGGTAGCCAAATTCGAGACGACCGGTTCGGTAAACGATCAGCCAACACCCGTACGTCAAAGAAACGCCAGATCGGCCGAGAACATCACGCCGCTGTAAGTGAAAGTGTGCAGGAGAACCCGAGGCAGTCAATTCCTCGCCGTGCACAAGAACTCGGCCTTTCGCAGACTTTAACTTGGCGAATTTTCTGTCAGGACTTGGGCCTGCACCCGTACAAGATCCAACTGGACCAGGAGCTCAAAGTTAATAACCATAGACAACGCCGTTTATTCGCTGACTTGGCTTCGGAGCATTTGGAAGAGGACCCCAATTTTGGCCGAAAAATCATCTTTAGTGACGAGGCGCATTTTTGGATGAATGGCTATGTTAATAAGCATAATTGCCATATATGGCATGACGCCAACCCACACGAGGTTCAACAGGTAGCAATACATCCACAAAAAGTTACTGTTTGTTGCGGATTTTGGGCCGGCGGCGTCATTGGTCCGTACTTTTTCGAAAACGACGTTGGTGAGGCCATCACCGTCAATGACGAGCGCTACAGAACGATGATAACCAATTTCTTTTGGCCCAAATTGAACGATATGGACGTGGACGACATGTGGTTCCAGCAGAACGGCGCTACGTGCCACATAGCGGACGCCACGATGGACATTCTGCATGAACGATTTGAGGGTATGGTTATCTCTCGCAGAGGTGACGTGAATTGGCCACCAAGATCCGTGCGATTTGACCCCGCTAGACTTTTTCTTGTGGGGTTTTCTGAAGTCGCAGGTCTATGCCAATAAGCCGCAATCGACCGATGCTCTTAAAGTCAACATAACCCAGGCCATCGCTCAAATTCAGCCGGATCTATGCGACAGAATCATTAAAAATTGGACCACTCGGATCCGTGCCACCGTGAGAAGCCGCGGCGGACATTTGAACGATGTTATATTCCACACATAATGGCATACATGAGCCTTTCAAATAAAAAAAGAATTTCTTTAATACATCACACACAGCTTGTTTTATTCCAGCTTGTTTTATTGCAACGTCGATCGCCCTTGTTGAAAAACCCTTTAGTAAGTGGCGGATATTATTCATATTAGAGAGTTAGCAATTCTGGCTCTTGGTCGACTGGTTAATATACATATTGTATTTTTGGAAAACCCTATAGGGCTCTGCTGGATTCGAACCTGGGACCTCTGGCTCTTGAGTCAAATGTCTTATGCACTACGCTACTACTATACTCTGATGAAAACTAGCTATATTGTGTACATATGGAAAGTATTGACGTCACAACAAGTTTTGGGATAACTCTGTGATCTTGCTCGGATTCGAACCTGGATCCTCTGGCCCTTGTGGAGTCATGCAATCTTACCACTACGCCTACTGCTATAACTCTGATGGAAACTAGTTATAATATTATTGCCTACATACGGAAAGTATCGACGTCACAAGTTTTGGAAAAACTCTGTGGGTCCTCTGCTCGGATTCGAACCTGGGTCCTCTGGCTCTTGAGTCAAGTGCCTTATGTACTACGCTACTACTATACTCTGATGAAAATTAGCTATATTGTATACATACGTAGTCATACGTATACATACATACGTAGAGAGTATTGACGTCACGCGTGGAAAATTTCGAAAATTCTAGACCCTACGGACTCGAGTCTCTGAGGCCCCTGCTCTTAATTCGCGCGAGCGTGTGCGAACATGTTCAAGCAGATAGGGCTAATTTCGAAGTCAAAAACTACTCATTGATTGTTGAAAGACGATCGTCTTCCAACAATCTTGGATTGTTGGAATCTTGGATGGTTGGATAGACCTCCCGGTCTATGTCTACCCGGATATTTTTACCTGTGTGTGTCCCCTCGCTTTCGAACTCGAGAAGTTTACAACGAGCTTTGTTACCGCAAACTGGAGATCACAGGGAAGATAGAAGAGGTGGAGAGAAAGGAATATACAAAATTTTTATAGAATAAATTCACATTTTATTTTTGAAGTTACATTCGTAGCTTCGCAAGCATTCGTAGCACTCTGCATTCGTTACAATTTCGCGTATAATTTCATTTAAATGAATGGAGATTAATTTATAGAATGCAATATTAAAATACGAGTCTAAAAATGGTAAATTTTTTATTTGGCGTCGTATGTTTTCTTCGATTTCTCGATATTTAGCAATGAGCGTCTGTTTCACGAAATCTTTGTTTATGTCTTTCTTCGGGAGATTAAGCTCTATCTCGGATATTAAAATACACTTACAATTATTTACAAGAGCTGCAACCGATTGTAAGTGCTCGCATTTAACGTCGATATATTTTACGATAGTTTCCAGGCCATCTAAAGGAGTCTCCTGCATTACAATATTTTTCGTGTATAGTTTACGCTTCTTTAACGGTGGTTGCTTCAAATGTGTAGAGCCCTCCGATGTCTTCTTCGCCGGCCCGCTTTCGCCCTCCATTTTTCCTCGCTGGCTCACCATTATAGCCCGTGCACCGTATGCAGAGCTAATGGTGATATCGTTAATGAAGATAGGAGCTAGTGTACCCTTATTTTCCCCACGTAAGTAAGAATTTGCAGAGGGTATAATATCTTTAAATTTCTCCCACGTATTTAAATCAAGGAAAATTCCTGAAGCCGTGTTTCCCATCATCTTGATTGCTGGCTCGAATGTTCCCTCGTCGTACATGGTGCGCAACCCAACTTGCACCCTCTTAGTGTCCAAATTGTTAAGAGCGTAAGTCGTGCATAGAAGCATGTTACGTTCATTTCTTACTTCTGTAGAAAGGCTGTTCGACGTCTTCTTAAAATCAGCGTTCACGTTAGCGGCGGCCATTATTCTTGCAGGAACTTGTAAATAACACAAGAACTCACACAAGAACTAGCTATGCAACGAATAGAAGCAACGAAGCTCGAATGATTGAGCAGTCTCAGTTCCACATGTCTTTCCTGTAGAGAATAGAAAAAGTAGTGGGGAAGGTGATGTGCAGGCATAAAAGGTCTACAACTGCTTATCTTCTTCAAAATGATATATACAAACGATGTATCATTAACGATCGCTTAGGATAGGAGATAACTCTCTGTATCGATAACATTCAGTTTCTGAAAGCGTTTCTCTGAGGGATTAGATTATGCAGCTACATGCGTGGGAAAATTTTTCAAAGATACAGTTTAGAGAAAATTTTTAAAAACGCAAAAAATAGGATAGGGGAAAAGCTGATGAAGACACAGTCTTTCGCCTTTTCGTTCACTTTCCCCCGCAACAGCAGTCGTATATTGTGGTCCGTGTTTAAGTAATATCGAAAAAAGTGCAGAGAAGATGTCGTCGCTTATTAAAACTGTGCGCGCTTATATTATTGTGGCATCGACTATAAATCCTCTCATCGAACGCGAGAGGTATTTGCGCGAATTCGGATAATAACAATGAGTGTAATTATTTAACGTTTTATAGTTTCGCTGCCTCATGCAGTAGTCTGTTGGGAATGCTATTTGCATGTGGGCATTTTAAAATGATCAGTGACGTTGTGAAATTGATGTGGATATTGTGGAAGCCGGAAGATTGTTCGGAGAAAATGAACCGGACATCGGTTACCACGTCCACGTTCCTTACTTCAACGTAAGTCTTTTATTATTAATTCCTAAAGTAACATAAGAAATAATTTTATAATGCCATGGGTTTCCCCATTAACCTTTATCTTGTCTCTCGTTCAGTCTTTCTCAATGTTTCTCTCGAAAGCGGAAAGCGTCGAAAGAGCTTTTCCCTCAACAGACAGTCACCGCCCGCATTACGACATTCCAACAGCGAAGAAGTAGAAGAAACGTTGAGGAATGACGCAGCCCACAGTTCAGCAGCAGCCTCTAATTACACAAACTGTGAGGAGATGCGTGATATTGAGGAAGTATCAACTGAAGAGGTACAACACAGCCGTTTCCATGCCAAGCCCTTCGACATCCATTTCTTGCTCGAAAGCTATCCCGTAGGTAGGCTGATAATGAACTCGTAATTCATTTCTACGCATCACGCATAAAATTTAAGAAAATTAAGAATTAAATTTTTATAGTGTAACAGTAAGGGTGGCGGGCACGAACAGTCAGATTTCTATGGGGAAGACAAACGCGACGAAAAGGAAGAGGAGGACGTCGTAGGAGAAGGAGGGGAACAATCGAGCGTATCGGAAACTTCCGTAGTTAGAGCTAACATTAGTGAGTCCCCCTATAAATTTATTCAAATTCATGGGGAAAGGATGCATAAATTTAGAAAATTTAATATTCCTGGTAGGGAGGTGAGTATCAAAATTATACCTCCTCCCGACGATAACGATATCGTACGTTACCTCGAAAATGCTTTCCGTGAAATCTATGTCTACGCGGTTAACTCGGCCGGTTTAACGACTACGTCGGCTTATCGTTTACTTCAGCAGACTTAACTCGGGAGCCTGCAGGTTTATCGTTTCGTCCAACACGTGACTTGAGCCAGGGAGATATTTGGAACCTCGTGATCTCGCTAGTTCAAAGTACCGGAAGTCACGATATACTGGAGCATTTCACTATTAATGTTTTCAATGTCGCTTTACCTTCGGGATAAGGCGCAAAAGCGAACAAATTAACGCATGAAGGGGTTGCAAAACGTTCCATCCTTATTATATATTGGGTGAGTGCAAAAGTTCGTGCGGAGTTTGTGAGTAAAAGTCACACAGTGATTAGGCAAACAAAAATCTTTATTCAATCAATGATATATTCTCCATCGTTTTCTATAATCTTTTCCCAACGTTCTGGCAGCATACGGATGCCTCGATCATAAAAACTGCGCGGTTTAGATTCGAAGAACGAAGAGACGCCGTTTTTTAAGGCCTCCAAAGAGTCAAAGTTTTTTCCATTTAAATAATTTTGCAATGACCGGAACAAGTGATAGTCAGATGGTGCGATATCAGGAGAATACGGTGGATGCGTTAAGACATCCCATTTCAGGCTCTTCAGTTTGCGCAGCGTCTTTTTCGAAACGTGTGGTCTGGCGTTGTCGTGATGAAAGACGACTCCCTTGCGATTTGACAAAATCGGACGTTTCTCTTTTATTTCTCGATTCAGATTGGTTAATTGGCGACAGTACTTGTCCGAATCAATCGTTTCGCCAGCGGGGAGAAGCTCGAAATAGATTATGCCCTTGCAATCCCACCAAACAGAGAGCATCACCTTCATCGGGTGCAAACTGGCCTTTGGCATTGCGTCACCATGCTCACCTGATTGTTTCCATGTCCGTTTGCGCTGAACATTGTTGTAGAGGACCCATTTCTCATCGCCCGTCACTAGTCGATCCAAAAACGACTCGTTATTGAGCCGCCCGAGTAAAGAAACGGCTGCAGAAATTCGTTTGATTTTGTTCTTCTCGGTCAGCAAATGGGGCACCCATATATCGAGCTTCAAATCGAATCCCATCTTTTTTAAACGCCGAAAAGCGGTTGATCGGTCAACGTTTAGTGCTGTAGCAACTTCTTCTATTGAAATTCGCGGATTATTGAGCACTAAAGTACGCAAAACATCGTCATCAATCAAAGTCGAAACGCCAAAACATCGGTCCATCATCGTCTCGGAATTGTTTAGTTTTTGGTGCTTCATCCTGATAAACATCCTGAATGTTTTTTACGGCTGCGGCAACGTTTATTCCCTTCCGAAACTCGTAAAGCATAACATGCCGTAAATGCACCTTATCGATACTCATTTTTAAAGTGATATTTCTTGAAGCAGTTTGTATGAAAACAAATGATTTTTTTTTTAATAACAGCTGAAGACATCACCTTTCCAATGTTATATAATATGTAGATGGAAGTATTAATGACAACACTTTACGACGCTTATAACTCCATCTATTGAAACTCCGCACGAACTTTTGCACTCACCCAATACAATACAGATAATCTATGTTTCTCGTGCTCACTTGTAGTTGCAATTGATTTATAGTGAACGTGGGAATGTGCGCACTGAGGAGCTTCACGCAAAATGGAATGTGGTGAGAAAACGGAATTCCGTGATGCAGCGAGAGCTAATACTCGAACTCACGCGGAAAGCTGGTGTTTCTATACCCGATGAAGGGTATAACATTCCAGAGTTCGAGCATTTCCAACTCCATGTCGCCAAGTACGATGCGGCGATCATGTTTATAATTTTAGCTCTTTTGCTCGTGGCGAACCTCCGTTATACGATGGTAGTAGAGTACTCGTCTTTCTAGGTCGCGACTTTAGACATAAGCTAAATATTATGTATTACGAGCACAGTCGTTACTTTAATCCAATATTGAATTTAGGAGCAACTAGTGGAAGCGGGGGTTATTACGTTCGTTGCAATAGCGGATATAAGCCTGATAGGGGTCATCGGCGTTCAAATGCATGTCTCCGGTGTTTCGCCATTCCGTCGTATGAAGAAACGGTTCAACTAATCCATTGTAACATGTGCCAACGTGCGTTTTACGGTGCCGCATGCTTTGAACGTCATCATGCCCCAAAGTCATACAATGTCGAGACAATATCGAGCGTCTGTAGCATTCTCCGGATTTGCAACAAATGCGGTCGTTTACAAAACTCAAGAAGAAAACAAATGCGGTACGGTTTATTGTCGTATTTGTATGTCGTCAAAACCACTGAACCACCTCTGTTTCATGCCCCCGCTTCGTCACACCGACGGATTATCGAAAAACCCAACGCAAGCGGAAAACGTTAGTGAAACTGAAATGGAGGATGAAAATAATGAGAACGTGGAAACATGTGAACGGAAGAAAGGTTGCACCGCATTTGTATGTTATGATTTTGATACACGGCAGGATGACACGGTCGAAGGCAGCAAAAATATTAAAACGCACGTGTTACACTTTGTGTCGCGCAACAAATATGTGATTCGTGTATGGAGATAGACGACTTGACGGTGCGTTGTCGCTGGTATGGTGTACGTGAATTAATATTTCGCAATGATCCGGTGAAGCAATTTGTTGGTTTTGCCATGAGACCGACGAAGAGCTTCAAACAGATCATTTGTATCGCGCATAATGCAAGTGCGTTCGACTCGCAATTTATTCTCCGTTATCTGGTTGAAAGTAGCAACTACGTTGAACAAACACTTATTTTAAACGGTATGAAAATTGTACCATTATCCGTTAGCCAAACTAAATTCATAGACAGCATTAATTATATGCCGAAGCGATTATCAATGATGCCAAAAGCTTTCGGGTTGAAGGGTATTTCAGGCAAAGGGTTATTCCCTCATTTGTTTAATACTGTCGAAAACCAATATTACACCGGTCCATTATCTGATATTATCGGTATTCCTCACCAGATACGATGAAATCGGATGAACGTGAAGAGTTTTTAGCATGGCACGCGAAGATGGTTAGTAAAAACGTCGAGTTCGATTTCCAACGAGAGATAGTGGACTATTGTCGCAACGACGTGGATATTCTTCGTCGAGCATGTCTCGTCTTTCATAAAATTTTTTTGGAGCGGGGAAGAGTATACCCCTTCGAAGAATGTACAACCATCGCTTTCACTTGTATGCGAGTTTTCCGGAAAAACTTTTTGCATGAGAAAGAGATAGGTATAATTCCGACGGGAGGTTACAGACATGCCAATAATCAATCGCACAAAGTTCTTTAATGGTTATTATGGAAGGAACGCGAACTCAGGCGCGCTATAATTCATGCCGGTAGAGGACGGGAACATCGTCTATCTGATGGTACATTAGTTGACGGTTATTACGAGTCGGAAAATCCACGGCAAAGACATGTTCTACAATTTCACAGATGTTTTTGGCACGGATGTCCTGCATGTTTTCGAATGAACCGCGATAGATCACTCTCGACCTGTACACACACGGATACGATCGACACACGCTAGTAGATTCGACAACAACACAGGACATTCTCTGCCATGGCTACGAAGCGTCGTAAGAGAATAGTCGGTTGATCCTTCTCCTCCTTCGAATTTGCACATTTATTTCTAGAGGATAAGAAAAATGTATAAATGTAAATATATAGTTAAGTATTCTGTGTAAAAATATACGACTGCTTTCTCTTAATAATGACTTATCTGTATATTGCATACACAGTAGTTTAGCAGGAAAACTTTTGTACAAACCGTATGTATATAATATTAAAATAATTCTTTTGCAAAAATAAAGAAATAAATTCACTTATAAATATATATATGATATGTATTTCTATTCTTGAATACGCTCCCTCGAATCACAGTAAAATCTTAGCAAATTGTATCGCTAGGAGCTGTCTCTTTCACAAGCGTTCGCTCGTACGAGCTCATTGAACGATTAGCTCACAACTTCGCGCTGACAAGCTAATATCGCCAGCTGCGCTAAACAAGCTATTCCCGCGGCCGCGAGCGCCACGTGAAAAAGCTTATTCAATGTAGCGCTTTCGCGGATATGAGCGGGGCCGCCGCGGAAAGGCCGCCCCGGCGCGAGTTATAAGCTCATCGCCGTTTCTTCTTTTCTTCAGTATTTATGTAGCTTCACTAGGTAACCGAATCAGTCATTTAGCAAGATGGACGTGCGCTAGAAACATTCTTGGGCGTCTATCGTTTGTGGACCTACGGGTTGTGGGAAAACGGTTTTCGTAAAGACTTTTCTTCGTTATTTACCTGCAATACCCGTTTCGACAGGATCCTATTTTATTATGCCGAGTGGCAAGAAACTTACCGGCAACTATAGCATGAAGTAGCGAAATCGGGACGATGCCTGATAGAATTTCGAGAAGGCTTACCGCGCATGGATAACTATTCAAACAATCCGCTTGTCGCGAAGTTGATGATAATAAATGATCTCATGAGGGAATCGTCATCATGTGAAGTAATCGTCGATCTGTTCACGAAGGGGAGTTATCATAAAAACCTATGTGTTATACTTATTTCGCAAAATCTATTTCATCATGGACGCGGGCAACGAGATATTTCTCTGAACACGAATTACATCATGGTGTTCAAAAACCCCTGCGATCGTGCTTAGATCCGTCACTTGGCCAGGCAGGTATGTCCAGAAGATTCAAAGTTTTTGGAAGAAGCTTACTATGACGCTACATTGTTTTCACATGGATATCTATTGCTCGATCTGAAACAATCTACCACTGATGAGTATCGATTTCATACATGTATTTTCCCCACAGATACTACACACTATGTTTACGTTCGGCGTGAGTCCACCAGAAG